GTGTTTAGTAACCATTACTAAACTAGCTATGAATAGCTATAAATACAATTCTACATTTTTGTAAATTGTGTGTATTAACTTGTCTCTAAGTCAACAGCCATGAAAGGCTCATAATGACACTTGATACACTTCTGCACATCCCTGTATTTTCCTGTGTAGTGAGTTTTTTTTTTTTGGTCCAAATCTTTATACTGTATGTCCTTTCAAACTAATGAGTGCATTTTGTCACTTGTCTTGTTACTGTGCACAGTTCTCTTTGACACTGTGGGTAGGACTTGAAGAATAGCTCCATCTGAGCTCCATCTTTTGCATCATGGCTACATTTGTGTCCGAATTTACTTTTTAAAGCATGTTAAGATGTGACCACTTATATTGTCTCTCAGTTTTCACTGACTGCTGGCTGTATGTGGCACATGACTGTAAACCCCTGCTCCAATTTATCATATAACAAAAGCCATTTTTCTCCCTCCCGGGCTCAGTGACAACTCCCTCACTTCTCACATCATTTCACCTTCCACCCTTCCACGGTCTGTGACTGAGACAGTGTCTGTCCTGACATGAGCAATGTATTATTACCTCTATAAACTGAGGAGGTGCGTAAGTGATAGTGCGTGCGATGATGGCCCATGGCAGAAAGATGAACAGGTTGTCCCGTGTTAGTCACCAGCCTCTGTGGACTGTCACTGACTGAGTGAGTAATGGTAAACCTAAGCCACTGTGAGCAGGTGCATGTTTCGAATTCATCAAATTTGCTGATTCAGTGAAAGAAAGAGAGAGAGAGAGAGAGCAGAACTCCTCTTTCTGTCCATCCATTTATCTTCACTGACCCAGTATTGTTGTGCACGAGGCTGCAGGCCCGCACCAATGCAAAAGCACTAACTTCATGCGACCATAAACAAAGAAAGAAACCTGAAAATAGTGTCAAATCTCAACTACAAACCCCTTTTCAATTAAAGAGTGAATCCTTTGGCAATCACGAACAAATTATGACCAGTTTCTGTAGGTCAGGTAAAGAAAACACTGGTTGCTAACATATCTACCTCACAAACTGCAACACTGGTCTGCACTTTAACATCAAGTATTCCATTTGTACTGTTTAAATTTTTATTGTATACATTTTATTACATTTTTCACTGCTCAGTTTGGCACAATCCTCACCTTATTCACCTCATTCGCCTTGTTTCTGCCTTACTTTTAACATGTTCATACCCTTATTGTATTTTATGTAAATATTGTATTCTTATGTAAATTTTGGTCGGTATTCCAGAAAGGACAGCACAAGAATTTCAATTCACAGGGAAACGTGTGTTCTCTGTGTATTTGACAATCAAAATCTTTGAATCTTTGAATCTTTGAATCTTTGAATAACCTCTCCTATGATAGCTCACGTGAACGCATGGTAATGTGACTGTAAAACAACGTCTTGAGAAACAGCTTTTTATAGGAGCGGGGATTCCTGAGCCAAGCTGAGCCAGCAGCCATTTTCACCATTCAAGCTGGCAAAGTATGAATGGTTCTCCAAGGTTAAAGTAATAATTTGCCTTAATGGTGTTTCGGAGATTTATGTGCTGGTTTGAAGAAAATGCTAAGAGAGTCCGGTGGGGGTCAGTGATTATGCCCAGTGTTCCAATGGAAAACCCAATGTGTAATATCAGTGCAGGTAGTGTGTTTCATTGGTAGCCTAAAAATGACCAAGTGATTGTGCAGTATTTATACAGTATATGAGGAAGTTTTGAGTTTACACTGTCCACAGAACAGAAGAATTGACAAATAAAAGCCTGTCTCCAATGCTAGCCTGTTTTCATCAACATTTCTCAAAAGCCTCTGTTGACTATGACTGAGCTCTTTTTTCTATCTCACCTAATTTGCTATTTGGACTGAATTGACTGAATCCCCATCATAGGTACTTCCTGTTCACATAAACATAAACACAGCATCAGGGACTCTTGATCCCTCTGCTAATGAATATTAAATGTTGTGTCTGCAGCATAGCAATCAATCCCAATGGCAGGGGCATTGGGGCTAATGGGGAGCCAAGGAGGTCGAACGTTATGGGAGCAACACACACACAGACACACACACACAC